CAAAACTTCATTTCTCTATAGAATTAACTCTAGAAATTTATGCTGGTGCCTGCTTTGTCCCTGATAGGCACCATTTAAATTACATTGTTATTTTTAACAGAAAGATAAACATTATTATCTTGCTGACCACTTCACTTGCATGACTGAGGGCTGTCAAATGAGCTATAAAGTTTTTTTAAAAAATCCCAATCTCCAGATGATGGCTGGGAAATTCTTATATTCCAGGTCAGCCCCTCGAGCAGGCTAATTATTGTGTTTTACAGCCCAGTTTTTCTGGACCCATGCTGAATGTAGGAGTTAAATTATGACCATAATTAAGGATGGCTACAAAGCTGCTGTCATTAACAAGGGGACCTGAGAAAGGAGGAGTTGAGACCTCAGCCTGATGCAGTCACACAGGTTTCTGTGCCCTGCTGCTGCACAAGGCTCCAGCTCCTGTCACAAGGGCTACAGGGATAACGAATGAATATTTATAAAGAGTAGCAAATATGCTCTAATTACCCTAATTGGCCTGCTGTGGTTCCAGTTATGGCAGAACTCCATTTCTGTTCAAGTGACATTTGCTTCTGGAGTAGTTCCTGCAGGCAAAGAAAAAGTAAAAGCCCTGCTGAAGAGGGCAGAAGATCCCCTGATATCCTGGTCCTGCAGTTTCCTCACCATGCTCTTGGCAGGCTCATGGCTAATAACACTTCTCATCTCGTTAGGGAGCATTTCAGAGGATGTGAGACACTGGGAAATGAGAAAGAAAAACAATGAGCAAAAAGAGAGGGAGGACTAGTTTTATTGTTAATAATTAATAGGCCAAACGCTGAACATTTTCAGGGTGGCAGTGCACAAAATTCTCCTTGACTTTATTTGTGGTGTAGAAATGTATCTTTATTTGTGGTGTATGGTTTTGCAGAGTGACTGACAGCCAGACAAGGAGTCCTGTCCTGAGGATTCAAACAGAGCTGCTTCCATTCAGGGAACACACCTGGCATCTAACCTGGCCTTCACCTTCCTGCTTGGGATCGGACCATTTCTGCCAGGAATGCTGAGATCATTAGGGATGCTGGAATGGGATGGTTAAGATGCCACAGAGGACGTGGCAGAGCAGTGAGTGGGTAAATCTAGTGGTTTGCAATTTCTGCCATAGCAACAGAACTTTTGAGGTGCATTTTTATTGACAGGGGTGACATCCATCTGCTGTCAGATGAATGACTCTACTTCCATGCTTTCAGATCTTTTGGGATTCTGTAGGCAGCACTCTCTGTGTCTGGGATACTCCAGTTCCACCAGCTCACTGGACTTGGGATCTTTTCCTCCCTGTATTTTGGTACTGCTGTTATTTTCTGGGTAAATAGATACTAAATCCACTGCCAAATCTCGCATGAGGTAGCCTACAGAACTATTAACACAGAAAAAAAGGGACATGCAGTATTGTACCAACTCATGGTAGTAAATGGTGAGTAATGACAGTGAAAATGGTGAAATTTCACCCAGCCAGAGTCAGCTGCTCCGGGCAGGGCTTGATGGCACTGACTGATGTGAGCAGGGATTGATTGATGTCATGGTCTTCAAAATCACATTTGACACTTCTTTTACTGTTTAATTTCTTATTAAACAGTCAATTCACTCTATGTAGGTTTAGAATTATCTACTCCACTTTAAAGCCTGTTGCAAACCCAAAAGAGGGATGTGAAATTTTGCAGCAAAAGTTGTTGCTTTTGCATCAGGCTGAACCCCCAGTGAAACTCTTCCCACACAAGAACGTATGGAGCACACCAGGTTTCCTTCCCAGACGTGCATCTGACGATGTGGGAATCTGTGATTCAGCCCTGCATGAGCTTTTTGTTTAATTAGACATTGCTAAAGCCTCTGACTGCTCAGTGACTCCTGAAGCCTCTGACTGTGGAGATCTGAATTACAGTGGGAACACTGTCAAGGGTCAAACAGAGACAAGCTCTAAATATTCCCTAGAGAGAATTTTTTAAGACCTTGACCTGTGGTGAATGTTAGCATAATACGAATGGTTTCAGCTCACCTTCTCTGAAGTGCTGTTACAGAAACCACGTGGCTCTGCCTTCGTTTCTCTCTTGCACCCACCAAGGGGTTTGTGTTGCTTTTGAGGGAGGAGGAGGCTGGGAAGGGAAGGATTTTGGAGAAAGTAATTTAATGTACCACCTTACCTGGAAATTCTGCTTTCAACAGGGACTTTTTTTTCCTCAGTGTTTACAGATCCTTTCTGTTGTCCTCTGAATCTGACAGACTCTTCGTTAAAATATTTTAAAGCTCTGTCCCAAAGAGCTGTGATTGTGATTCCTGGTACAACATGTAAGGAAGAGGTGTCCCTATACAATCTTGTACCTGGATTTTCCTGCAGAGGGATAATTTCCTTTGCTGGTGCTTTCTGGCACAGCCTGGCCCTGCTCAGAGCCGAGCTGTGCCCCAGCCCCACTCCCTGTGCCACCCTCACCCCTCTGTTCCTGAAGGAGCACAGGGACATACAAGAGAGCCCATCACTTTATTACTGCAAGGAATGCAGCTCTGGCTGTGGGATTCCAGCTGGCCAGAGCACCCAGAGCAGGAATCAGAGCGATGCCAGCCCCTGGTGCTGCAGACATGCATCGCTGTGGGGCAGCTCACACTGCCCCTCTGCCTTCATCAGAGCATCCAGGGCTTGGACTGCAGCTGTCCTGGGGACTGCACACGCTGGGAAAGGGCCAAAAAGGGGTGACAGCCCTCAGCTGTGTCACAGCAAACAGCCAGTTTTTGAGCCAAGCCATAATTCCCATGGGGAGAGAGAGAGAGAGAGGCACCAGCAGGATCACCCGAGACCCCCAGGGAAGCTGGAACGCAGCAGGTGGGGTCCCCCAGAAGCTGTGCTCTGAAACCTGCATTTATTTAGCACAAGGACTGCAGCAATATTCCCCCTGGAGCTGCTTCCACCTGTGGAGCTGGTTCCAAGCACAACACCGCACACGGTGGGTACCTCCCGACAGCTCCTCTGCCCCTGCCTTGGCAGAACTTGCAAGATGCTTTCACAGTTTTGCTCAACCAACACCCAACTCCAGGGTGATATTTTTATTTTATTTTTATTGGACAAGGGCTTTAGAATCAAGCTCTAGTTGTGGGATAAAAAAATTAGGTGATACATGAAATAAATGAGCATTAATGTAAAGACAGTGAGAAAATGGATGGCCCTACAGCATTTATTAGCTAGCAGAACATGGAAATGAGCTTGGGTTTTATTTGGTAAGTCTTGATTTCTCCTTATATTCACGTACAGCTCCTTATTTATGGCTCAGCCTGTCAAACACATTCTTAGATAAGAAACTGTTGCTCACAGGACTAATCTAATTACCAGTTCTTTTTATAATGAATGCTGACACAAAGGTAGAAGATGCACAGCACTTGTGCTGGAGCCAATGCTCCAGATGATCAAACAGTTTTGAAATTTAAAAAAAATGGGGAGAAGAATTTTTTGTCACGATGTTCCTGTTTTTTGTCCAACTCTAATTAAAGAAGAAGAACAAGAGTGAAAAGCTGGTTCATTTGCAGCTTTGGCACAGAATTAATTGCCAAGAGTTTAGACTGGATATTTTAGCACTCTGCAGTAATGTTCCATAGGCACATTTCCCTATCACAGGCTGGAGAATGTTACAGCCCTAATTATTTGTAAAGTGCATTTTAAAAAGTTTTGGAATTTTCCTTCAGGAACAAGCGTATCAGAACAGCTTCAAATTGTATTTTAAAGACATTTGAACAGAAAATCAGCATGCTGTGGGTTTGGCCAAACATCACAGACTGAGAAACTGATTTTACTTTTTTTTGAAGGACAATGTCGTGTCCTTGGTCTTCATTTAAAACAATTATGCATTCTGACATTTCTCACAACCTGCTCCAGATATGCCAATAAGAAATAGTATTTCTGAATATTAAGACAAAGAAGCATTGGTCAGTGTGATGGGGACTTCTACATTTCCCAAGCTCTTTACTGCTAGTAAACCATTTTTATTAAAAAAGGGTAGAAAATAAGCTAAACTCTTTAAATCAGCTTTTCTTTACCTCTAAGCACACATGAAATCAGACAAGTGGATTTAGTTATCTTCTGAGTTCTGGAGTTTTTCTCCTGTGCTGTTCTGCAGGTCAGGGTCACTCTCTCTAAAAGAAACAGGCTGTGTGATGAAACAGAGCCCTGTGCCAAACCCGAGTGTCCCTGTGCTCCCCTGGCCTCAGCACAGAGCCTGGGCCAAGGTGGACAACACCTGATTGTCCTTTACGGTGTCACTGCTCTGTCCTGTCCTATTTAAAACCTTCCCCATTTCCAGCACGTGTGTAACGATGGCAGAGGTGAAGTAAACCTGTCCCGAGTCCCTCCTGATGGGGACAGTGAGGCACAAAGCTGTCACTGCTCCCCTCCATGACTCCAATCAGATTTTCTTTTCCCCTCACTGGCACAGATTTCCTGCTCCTGCCAGGAGCTCGGTGGGAAGGGGTGGCCCCAGTTTGCCCAGCAGTGCTGGGGGTCCCTGGAAACTGCCCTCTCCCAGTTCCCTTTCAGAGCTGAGGGCGAGCGAAGCTGGCAACAGATGGTGGGGAAGGCTGGCATCTCCTCATGCATATTTCACTGGATTTGCAGCTAGTCACCTCTTGATAATAACATTAAGTGCTACAAAACTCCAAGGCTTTGTTCCTCGGAATGTTGCATTCGATGGCATCGGATCAATGCTGTAACATCAATTAAATTTTGAAGCTGGTGAGCTCTGAGTATTTACATCTTTAGCGAGGTTATGCTATAAACAGCTCAATTCTTCTGTGTTCTGCTGTGGGTAGGGCTGACTTGCAAGGAAAGAGCTGGTTCTGTGGCGAGTGACGAATCTTACTTGACGCTTTTTAAAAGCACAATGGGACAAATATCTGTGGTTATTTCCATTACGCTCTAAGGCGTGTTACTGGGAGAGAATTCAGCCATTAATTCTGATGTATTTACATTATTTATATACAAGAACAAGAAAAATGGTAGCCTGTTTAATGATTATGTACATTGTGATTCTGTCGGAAAAATGTGTATTACAAATGGCAAAACAGCCTGTCAAGTGCATAATTATATGTTGCTCTATTTTTTTGTTGTTGCCAGAGAAGTTTTAAATCCTTAAATCCCACTGCATGATCTCGGTGAAAAGTTCTGCCCTATACGTTACATGGGGGGGAGGAAGGAACAGCATAATAACAGACTTCTTAAACCACATCAGGTCCTGGTTAGAGCTCCTTCTCTTCGTTTTAATGTGAGGATTACCTTTGTAAGGTGCTTCCAGAGGGAATTAAAAGATGGAGTCTGATACAATGACAGCAAGGGAAACAGGACCGTAAATTTCATTCATTGTCCCTAGCCTCGGAAGAGAGAGTGGTGAACAAAACCTCGCTGCCTTGTGACTCATTGCTCATCTGAGACTTGGCTTTCAGCAGGAACTGTGCTCTCCTGTACATGATCCTCTCCTGCTCTTGCTTCAGCTCCAGGTAGGAGCGGGAGAAGGTGTGGAAGATGGAGGTGACCGGGAAGGCCATGAGGAGGATGCCGCTCAGGATGCTGCTCAGGGCCACCACCTGCCCAGGGATGCTCCTGGGTACCATGTCCCCGTAGCCCACGGTGGTCATGGTGATGACGGCCCACCAGTAGCAGGCGGGGATGCTGGTGAACTCCTGCGAGTCGGCCATCTCGTTCTCGATGACGTAGAGCAGGGGCGCGAAGAGCGCGATGGCCACGCAGAGGAAGAGCAGCAGCAGCCCGAACTCGCGCGTGCAGCGCCGCGCCGTCAGCCCCAGCGTCTGCAGCCCCAGCGAGTGCCGCGCCAGCCTCATCACGTACAGGATGCGCAGCGCCCGCAGGATCCGCAGCACCAGCCCCACCTTGTCCAGGTAGATGTTGCCCGAGCTGGGCTTCTTGGAGCCCTCGGAGCCCGTGTCCACCAGCAGGGTGATGTAGTAGGGCAGGATGGCGATTATGTCTATCAGCGTCAGGGGCCTCCGCAGGAAGGAGAACTTGCTCTTGGCCTGGATGAATCTGAGCAGGAACTCCAGGGAGAACCATGCCACACACACAGACTCCACAATGAAAATATTGTAGCACATCTGGGAACACTCACCCTGCAGGAAAGAGGAGGAGTTTGTAATCGGCTCTGGATAATAACTGTTTTACTTGGTGCGGTGACAGGAGGAGAGGCTTCTGTGTTGGTTTTTTTAAACCCAAAATATTAAAGGAATTGAAGCTGTTGCTATGGGGAAACACGTTGGCAGTTTGGAACATGCTAAGTGCAAAACTTAGAAAGGCACTGCTTATTCCACAGAAGATAACTGCTCAGGAATTTCAGGCTTTCTAAATAGCAAATACAAAGTCTAACAAGGGAATATACAGAAGAGTGCACGCTAACAGAATTTTCTTTGGACATAAGACTGGATATGATTAATTCTCTTACAAGTTAATTGAACGGTCATGTAACATTTCAAATGTTCTTCACAATATTTCCCCCCCTCTGCAGACAGCTGCAAAATCCCCATTGAAGTCAATAACCTCAGACCTTGCACTCGCTCTGCTCTTCCCAGCACATACCACTTGCCATCCTAAAAGCTAACTTACCTTTTCCTCCTCCTCCCTCAGGTCAGGCATGGTGCTGATGGATAAGTTCACTGCTGTAATAGTTACAAACAAAACAGACAAACACGCAAACACCTTTCCAGGAAGGCCAGACTGGGGCCTTTCCACCATGTCTTGCAACTTTCTCATGCACAAACCAATTTTTGTCTCCTCTACTGTTTCACCTGTTGTTTCATTTTCTAGGAGGTCATCCTCCCGTTCATTAATCTCTGTGAGCTCCTCCATTTTTTGCAGGTATCTCCTTTTACAACACCAGTCCAAGTTGTCTTCCTCAATGCCCCAGTAGAGCAGCTCCTCTTGGAAGGACAGCGCACACATCTCCCGCAAGAGCCGGAGTTTGCCGACCCGCAGGAAGGTCAGGATGGTCCTGAACGCCCCCGGGTTGCGGTCGAAGAAGAATTCATTGCACGTCACATCATAATCGTCACAGATGTTCAGAATGTCGTCAAAATTAGTGCAGAACTTGAGCTGTCCCAAACGTGTCAGGGGGAACTCATCCAGCGTGGTCCAGGGGAGCAGGTACTTGATGCCCCCCACGTTGATAATTATGTGACGCTTGCGGTCGTCGGGGTGGAAGCCTTTGAGGAGATCCTCCTGAGGGTGGATTAGCCTGGCTCTTTGGTAAAACACTCCCTTGAGGGTTTCAGATTCTGGAAAGAACGTGTGGTTGAAGGAAGCATCTGAAGTACAGCTCAGGGCACTATAGTCATAGTCGGAATTTTCTCCAGGCATAAGAGTCATCTTGGAAGACAACTTTGCATCCCTTCACTGCTCCTGCAAGTGTCTTCTGGAACAGAAAACAGACACAGGGGGTGAGGAAATGGCAGCCTGCTTTCAGGTTTTGAACAAATGCAGTGGTTGGAGCTCAAAAGCATTTATGGTTGATAAGAGCCATTGTAAAGAAAACAGCAGTGGTTGTGCATGGTCAGTGGCTGGGATTGTCCAGCACTGACCCCATAGCAAGGGCTGAGCCCGGCTCAGGAGCTCTGCCTGGCAGATTTAGCACACTGGAGGCTGCTCCTCTCTCACATACAGAGGTCTCAGTTCCCAGTAGATAAAGAGGGAAGCCAGGAATAATTCCTCCATGTGGCAGGATGTTTCTGGTTCAGAGTGGAGGTATAAAAATGACAGTATCACATTAGGACACAGAATTCAAGTGTGTTTTGTAGAAAATGAAGTGGTATAGTTTTTTAAAGCATTACCCATAAAACTTTGGAGTGTTTTAGTACCCATGAAATATACAGAAAGAATCAGAAGTCAATTATGTTGTAATTCAGTAAATACACACTTCTAAAAACCAGTTAGTACAAGAGTAATTTCTAAAAGGCCATCTGGAAACAATTTGGGGGAAAAAAGCTCGCTTGTATTGGTGATCACATAAACATTTGTATAGAGTTTATACACAATTAATGACATGGCAACTCCCTTTTTATGGCCTGATTTACAAAAGGTTGCAAAGAAACACAGGATTTCCATGCAAACCTTGGACTGTTGTTTCAGTTATCACTGACACCCTATGTGCAGTAGTAGGGCTTTGTCCTTGCAGTACACTGAGCCAAGCTGCCCTTGTCTCTGACTTTAAGAACCCAAAAATTTCTAATGACAGCTTGGAAAATCCTGTTCAAATTCAGCTCACGCAACACTGGCGTAAAGTCCAGGGAGTGAAGGGAACAGAGTTCAACTGGGTATCAAACACAGGAGCTGGCAATGTTCGACCTCCTGGCCTCCCTAATTCACTGCACGTTAAGAGTCAGCCTGGAATCTGCTCCTCCGCAGGAGGTTGTGCAGCACTGCTCCAAGACCTTCCATCTGCACACTCAGCCTCAGCCTAGTGCATGGAGCCCCTGAGTTCCACTTGGTGAGAGTATTTATTTATTAAGGAGATTGTACAATAGAGAGACATTAAATATGCACCAGTATTTTGGCTTTCTAGCCTCACGTTCACAGGAAAAGAATAAATATTCCAGTTGATTGGCTTCAGTAGCAGTAGAGTTTTGTTCTTCTGCTGGCTGCACTCACCTCCCCTTGGATGTGACTCCAGGGATACACCCCCTGCTAGGGCCACTTGCTGAGCCACAGAATCCTCCTTTTCAGAAGCTGGGTTTATAAACCACACCAGGAGTGGTACATACCTGTTAGAGAAGAAAAACTCATGATTACACAACAGCAAAGGACTCACACCACAGCTGCACATCAGCTTAAGAGCTCTCCTTAAGTGCTGCAAGGGCACTTAAAATGTTCCAATTAAAAACTCCCTCAGTCCTGCTCCTAAACTTCCCAGAGGCTTTGGGCAGAACAGAGCAGCTCTGGGCACATTACAAACAGGTCAGCTTTGGATGGAGCATTATTTCCTGACTCCTCACTCGTACAGAAGCACAGAATGGTTTGGGTTGGAAGGAACCTTAAAGCTCATCTTTGGCAGCCCCTGCCATGGATCGGCAGAAGAAGTGCCCCTGGAGTGCGAGCGACAGGTTTGATATGGAAACCAGGGCTGCCTGATGGATGTTTATGTAGGGCTTCATCTCTCAGACCAACTGCTGTTTTATTTAAAAATGCCTTTTCCCTTCTGCCTCAGCCACGTCTAAGCAGGGCTGTTGCAAACAGAACGAAGACTGACTGATATAAGATATGGATAAGTGGGAGCTGTTAACCATTTTCCCTTCTGTAATACCAGATGATGTTGGTTAGCAACAACTTATCCTCTGAATCTCAGCCAGGAAAAATGAGGAGGCAGCTCATCTCTGTCACTGGTTTGATCTCCCAGCACATCCACTGTTGACACAATGGGAAGAAATGGAGAGAGGGAAATGTAAATGTTCTGCGTGTGTCAGACACACGCTGTAACCCTGAGGCAGCAACTGTGAAAGAGCAGAGCAAAGAGAAAGGGATTTCTTTCTTCGCTGCCGGCTCCTCGACCTGTGTGAGACAATAAATTGGACAAATGAATCCCCTGTGTGCCACACTGAGTGGCTGCACTTAGTAAAGGTTGCTCCTTGGTTTGCCATAATCAGAGCTGGCAAGCCTACAAATCCCACGTAGGAGCTGATGCTCCACATGGGCTATTTTCATGTTCTTTGCCTCAGATACACGCAGCATCATATCTACAGGGGAAGAGTAGGAGGAGATAAAGGACAATAATAAACGTGGCCTGACTTGAAGGGAGAAAGGAGAAAAATAAACCAATGCGTTTCTCCGTGTGTTTCTTGCTTTCCTTCTGAGGGTGCCTCAACAGAATGATGGTCAGTATTGCTTTAGGATGAGAGAGATCTAATTAATGAAGGACTCCTTGCTGTTGAACTTAAAGCCCAAGCAAGCTGCTTTATTCCTCTCTTGAAGCTTGATGCACTGGGGGCAGCTGATAAGAAATGCCTCCAGGAGTAAAGACAACACACTGCAGTCTAAGGTCAGACAAACACGTTAGCCTAGAGCCCCAACCTTCCCAGAAATTAAACCAGATGAACTTTCAGGATCTGCTGTAATAGGAAAATCCTCTGCTCTGCTCTGGCTTGGTCAGGCCCAGTGGTAAAAGCCCTGCTGGCCAGAGGGCTGAGCAGCATTCTGCCCTTGCAATGCCTGGGACTCACTGGAGCCCAGTTCATCTTCCTGGTGCCCCTGCTGACAGAGCGCTCTCCTCTTGGGCAAATCCCTTCTCTCTGAGCATCACTGCACTCATTCTCTGTAAACTCACTGGGGCAGCAACTGCCTCTTCCTACATTCTCCACGCTGGGACTTGCTCTGGCTTTTAGAACCTGCCGTAACACAAACCAGAGCTGGCCTGGGGCAAGGGCTCTGGGTGACTCCAAGGGCTGGATTACTCATGGGAAGTAAGAGAGGACATATTCTTAAAAATCTGTCCTGCACAAGATGATATCCATTATGTCTGGTGAAGAAATCAAATTAGAAATCCGTACTGCCCTTACTTGCAGCCAAAATTCAGGAAGGATGCCAGACTCCGAGGCAATGGGAAAAGAATTATTAAAGATGCCCTTCTGGGGGAAGAAATAGAACTCATGAGAAACATGATAAAATTCCACTGCAAGTGTCGTTCCCCCCCCAGTGTCCTCTGCAGTATTTTGAATTCTGCAGTGCATCTCTGATGTAATCAGAGCTCCTGCAAGGAGTCCTGCTCTGCTCCATGGTGCAGACAATTCAAAGTTGTGCCTGGATGATAACAAGCCTGCAAAGAAGATGCAGAACTCCCCCCTAGTATCTTCTGTCAATTCCAGTGCCTCCAACTCATCTCTGCTGCTTTTCAAAAGTAAATTAACTTTAAAAAAGGCATTAAAAAAAGTTTCAGATTTCAGTGCAGGTTGAATATGAATATAGAGATTTTTTGGAAAGAATTCCATAAGGAACGTTTTCATGGTCCCTCCTCCTTTAGTCTTTCCTTAGTTAAGCAGGCAGCATTTCCAAGCAGTGCCCACTCAGCTCTCTCCTGGCACGGGATTTCCGTGCTGTACCTCACGGCCAGGTGCCTCCTGCCACACTGCAAGCTGTCCTCCTGCAGCTCCTTACAGCCTAGGAACACATCTCAAACTTCAGCTTTGCTTGCAAAAGTGCACTTCCAACCAAATCAGAGTAAAACTTAGAAAGGTCAATGTATAACATGAAATAAAACTCTCCTGAAAAGCAGATAAACTGAAAATAATATGCTCTATCTCTATCTTGCTCTCCCTGAGCTGGACAGTTGTAGCATCTTATGACAACCTACAAACAGAATTATGCCAAATATGTTACTGGTTGGTTTTATAAAGCTCAGCCTTATTCTACTGATAATAATCAGAAGTGAAATAACTTTGCAGATAACTTATAACCCCAGGAGAAGGTTCTGAAATACATTAGGATTAACAACTGCAGTTACTCTCTTGCTGTGAAACATATTTATGTCAATAAATTTTAGCAAGTCACATTCATAGAAATATCTTAAACGTAATTTTAAAAAGTAAAGGATTTGACATTTACTTGTATTGATAAATATGTTGCTACCGAAATGAAGATATGTAGTCACATAAGTCACGGAAGAGTTCTTTCATGCTTGTCCTGTCCTCACCCCCTCCCCAAGTCTTTTCCAATGAACAAATCTACCGGAAAGACATTTCCTATCCAGAGCAGTTCGCTTGATGTGTCTGTCAGTCACCAGCGAGCAGAAGTCAGTAAACACACCAACATAAAAGACATCCCTTAATTATTTAAAAATGAAAGCTATAAAGGACCTTCAGATTAGGCAAGGCGGAAGAAATTGGCAAGGCGAGCCTCCATCGTGCGCTGCGCAGCCCCAGGACGCGCGGAGCGGCAGAGCCGGCCGGGAGAAGCCGGAGCAGCACGAAGCGAGCCCGCAGGATGAGCCCGGAGCGCCGTCAGCCTCCTCGGCGGCGGGGCCGGGGCAGGGCAGGAACGAGAGCGGTGCCGGGGAGCAGCCGAGCCCCTCCCGCTGCTGGCGGCGCGGCCGGCCCGGCTCCGGCAGGGAATGACGGCCGCTCCCTCTCTTCCATCCCTGCGGAGGGACAGAACCTGTTGCTGCAGCCCGGGGGGGCCCCGCCCGCTCCGGGGGCTCGGCGGCTCCG